GCACCCGTCCCGTTCGTCCCCGGACGTTGCTCTCTGCCCCGGGAACGTCGAGACTGGAGCGCCCGAACTGAGCCACCCTCGCGGACCCGGAGCGCGGCGGCCCGACTCTCCGCGGAGGCGCCCGGACGCATGAAGTGCGTACTTTCTCCCGTGAACGTGCTGAGGCTTTTAGGGGTGCGGGGCGGCTCCCCGACTCTGTGGGGCCCCGGCCGGCCGCGCCGCCGCGTCCCAGACCTTCTGATCCCTTGCTGCGCGCGGCCCGGGATGGGCGACGTGGGCTCAGGGGCGGCGGGTCCGGGAGGGGACTTGACCTGGGGTCCCCAAGGCCGAGAGCAAGTTCTGCTTCTCATCGGCCCACTGTGTCCCCCAGGGCCAGTCCTGGGCCGGGTCGTCGGCCGTCCGTCCCCAGCTGCCAGGGACGCTCTCGCAGTCTCGGGAACTTGTCTGGAGCGGCGGGGCCTGGGCCTGAGCCCGAGTCCGCAGCTGCCGCCGCCTGGGTCCCGTGCGCCGCCCGCCCCAGGACCAGCCGCCTGAGTTCCTCTCGGGACGGAGACAGCGCTCGCGCCCCGGGCCCAGGTGGGAGCAGGCTGGACCCCACAGGGCTCGGGAGAATCGCTTTCGGCGGCAAAAGAACGAGTCAGGACAAGTCAGCCGTGGGGTGAGGGGCCCAGCGGGTGCGCAGGGAGATGTCCCGCCTTGGGCGGCAAGTCCTTCCCTCGGGCTCTCGGCTCTCGCGGGCCTGGCGGGTCCCTACTCTGTGAGCTCCGCACTGGACTCGTGGCTCCAGCAGTTCAAGTCCCCGAGTGTGCAGGAAGGACGCGGACGGAGAGGCGTGAATATAGCCCCCCTTTCTCTTCGTCCCAGTCAGGCAATTCCTCTGCTGTCTGGGGCAGGGGGCACACCCCAGGAATTCCCACTTAGAGGAAGCCAAGGATACCTGCTGGTATCTCCTGCTCTTCTCAGCGCCCCCAAACTGCCCCTTACCACTCTGGGTATAGGTCTTTCAGGTGGGCTAGGAAATCCTCCCTGAGCCGAAGGCGGCTGTGGCTGGGGGTTCCCGCTTGTCCGCCTCCGCCCTCCAACAGAGTACCCAACTTATCAGATCATCCTGTTTCCCGGCCTCTTTTCTTTTGTGGGGGGGTAGGGAAGAGTAGCAAGAGAAGCCTCCTACTTGGCAAATTTCTGAGAGGAGGTTTGGGGGGCTTCTGAGGTTGCCCCCTCCTGGGCAGGTAAAAGGGATGTTGGGGTCCCAACTTTTGTTGGACTGTCTGACAAGCCCTGATTCCTTGATTTCTGGGAAGTGCCAGCTAGGCCTGTATTCTGACCCCACCTACACAGGAGTTGGGTCAGGGACATGGGACAGTTCTATAACCCCCCTTCCCACATTTAGTCTCAGAAAGTGAAAAAGCCATCTCAGTCTGGGGTAGCCTTTCTGAGCTGCCTGGGATCTGGTGGGGGGTGTGTGCATGTGTGTGTAAGACCTGGTCAGGGCAGGTGTAAGACCAGCCCCTCTGGTCCCTTCTGTGGACCCAGCTCAATTAGTAGCACCGCAGTCACACTTCTTCCAGCCCCAGGGATGCTCAGGAAGCAGCATTTGTCTTTAGGGCTGTCAGCTGCTCTGGGGGACCTGTTGCTGTTCCTTGGGCTGACAGACCACCACACTCCACACCTCAGGATTGCAGAATAGTGGTCAAGGTGCTCAGGCCCATCTGGCTTCCACAGCCTCTTGCACAGGTGAGGACAGGTCCAAGGTCCAGGTGATGCTGGCCTCGGAGACACAAAACCTGGCTTGGCGACTCCCATTCCAGTACTCCTCTCCCTGGACCTCGCTCCCCCTCCTCTCCCAGACTGTCTCTCCTCAGAAGCAGCCCGTGCCCCTCCCTCCCCCCCCTCTCCAGGGCAGCACCCCCAGCTTACCTTAGACCTGGCCTGGCCTGGCCTGTCTCAGCGGTCAGGACCGAGAGTATTGGCCCGAGGCCAAGACTCACCCTGGACTTGGGGGAGCGCCAGGCTTTGCCCAGAGGCCTGGTCCCAGTGGGCCTGGCAGGCTCTGCCATGGGGGATGGAGTTGGAGCTGGGGCTGCTTCTCATGCCGCCAGGCCTGGTCTGGCCTCCCTCTGCCCCCTCCCTGCCTGCCCTCTCACAGCTCCAGCAGGGGGCGGGCAGGGGAAAGGAAAGGAGGGACAAGTTGAACTGAGTCTGTCTGGTGTCCAGGAGCCTTGGAGAGAGGCTGGGGGAGGCCACAGGGCAGGGCCCTGGTACATCTGGGCAGGGCTGGCCTTCAGATGGCCTCCTGCTCCCCAGACCATTGTCCTGGGGCTGTTTGCCCACAAAAGGGGGGGCTTGGGGACCGGCTCTGACCCCTCCCCTCACCGTCCCAGTGTGGGGCTGGGTGGGTGGATGTCTGGTGGGCACAGCCTTAGTCTCCCTTCTGGTCGAGTGACTCCCAGTGCCCAGAGAGGTTGCACTGAGAGGTCCCCAGTGGCCCACCTTGCCCCCCTGCAGTAGGACGTCCTGAGGCTTTGGGGAAGAGGTGGTCCAGCCTGTGCACCTGGAGAAGGGTGTTGGGGAACTGTAGGTGTGTGTCTCTGTGCCCTCGCCTGGCATACTGACCGGCTGCTGTATCTCCGGCCTCCTGGCCAGGGACCCTTGTCTCCCCTCCCCCTGCACTGGCCTCTTGACATTCCTCCAGGAGCTCCCAGGTGCTTTCCTGTCTCTGAGCTTCCACTCATGCTGTTCCTTCTGCTCTTCTCCCTCCCCCTGGAGTCTCCTGTTTCTCCTCCTCTCCCTCCCCCTCTGCCCTCACCCCCACCTGGGCCCGGCCTGCCCCACCCCCGCACGGGGAGCTGAGCCCCCCCCCCCCAGGCCTTCCCCTGCCCCCGGGGGCCCCCCGGTGCCCCCCCC